GAGAGAGAGAGGCCTAATAATTAAGTCTTACTTGAACAACGAAGTCTGGCTGGAGAGGATCTCAGATCAACTTGTTATGCCTTGAACCTCCAAGAGATTTGGTATTTGCCACGTCTCCCTCACTATTTTATAGTTTTCAAAAGCAGAAGTGAAGACCTGAGAAATTTTTCCTTTGGTCAAATGATTTCACAACCAAGTCAGAGGCATGGGGTGGGGAAGAAGATTGATGGGAACTTCTAGGGGAAGAGGCTGTTTCACTGAAATAATTCTTAATCCTTGGAAATACAAGGGGTGGTAAACTACCAAACATTTTGCAAATGTGTCATCATTGAAACAGGCATTGTTTTTCTTGGGACCACTGTGCAGATGATGTCAATGTTAAAATAGTGGGTTTTCTGACTGTGACTAGTAATAATCAGATACATAGAGATTAAAGACACATGTGCAAACATCTAAGCGTTAGTAGCATTAAAAATGTAGGAAACAGCATATTTTAAAATGAAATGGAGATCTTTAAAGGGTAAAAACTCATTCAATTTTATAGTCTTACAGAGTTTATACTGAGTTCAATATTGTATAACTGTATTAATTCAACTGTGAACCTAAAAATTTACAGCTGCTTTTGAAAGAGATGTATCCTTGCTCTGGAATGTGTTACTGAATATGTTAAAGCTGTAATGAAATGCTTCTTCTAATCATGTGGTTATTAAATAAAAAAACTAAAAAAACTAGTGGGTTTTCCTTGGTTAGATGAATGTTTTATTTTAGGATCTCTAGAACACAGGAGGACACAGACGCACACGCACAAATGCATTCCCTCCTTTATGTCCCTGTGCTTAAGCTTAGGAAACTTTCCACCTGGAGTTAAACATGTGTAATGCTTTCCAATCGCTCTCTCTGTGTCAGCCTTGAGAACACACTTCAGGAGCTCTCTTTTGATTGTATTAATAGGAATTTCTGGAGAGACACTTGCCTTTCCTTACACTGGGGAGGGCACACTCAGTGTGCAGGTGTACATGCATGCTTCTCACAGGGCTGGGGGAACCCTGGAGGCAAGTTCATGCAACTTGGTAATGCTGGAACACTACTCTAACCAGTCTCATGTTGATACCGCATCAGTGCTGAATGACCAGGGAAAGGAGCCTGAATTAAGTTGCATTGTGCTAAGGTGGTGAATGAGGCACATGTGTGTTGGTGATCACAGTCTGTCTTGAAAGTGTAGAGATATTCTCTCCCTCAAAGAATGTTTTGGCAAACTTTTTCTATCTAAATCTCTTGACAGTGTCAATATCACTAGACAGTTTAACCCAGGGAGCAACAAGCGCCTTCCCTAGGGCAGCTTTTCCTTTTTAGAAAGAGTGAGTAACCGGGGGCTAAAGAGATGGCTCAGCAGTTAAGAGCACTGGCTGCTCTTGCAGAGGACTTGGGCTTAATTCCCAGCACCCACATGGTAGCTAACAACTATCTATAACTTCAGTTCCAGGGGAATCCAATGCCCTCTTCTGACCTCTGTGGGCACTGTGTGCCAATACACACATGCAGACAATACACTCATACACATTAAAAGAAAAAAAAGGAAAAGAAAAAAGAATGAGTGACCGGATCATAAATGGTGCATGGAATTCTAGGAATACCTCTCTAGTCCCTTTGGCCTAGCTATTGTATGGTACTCATTACAGCCCTGAATTGAAGCCTAACTCACCTTTCTGGTCCTTCAGAGAGGCTGTGAACTTTGTTATAGCCAAGTCTAGCACGATGCCTGGCATGTGAATGCAGATAGCAGGGACGTGCTGCTTGCATGGGTGGGCAGGAATCTGATGGTGTTTTCATCCAAAAATGCCTGTGCCTTATCTAGCAACAGTCAGTTGCCAATATTCCTTTAGATAAGATTGGGGTCTGCTGTTCATTTTCCCAGTTCTGTGCTGGGTTACTGTCTGGGAGTCTCTTGGGCCACTCTGGCCAAAAACTCAAAGGAAGGTATCACCTGTCTGGCATTGTTTCATGTTATGTAGCTTTACCTATACGTATGAACTCTTAAAGAAATATACTGATCACTTTAATCTTTCGTTATATTTTCCTTTTGGGTGTTTAAGACTATACAGTTGACTCAAATAAACCAATTTATTTTTACTCTTAAGGTCGTTTGAGGATCTGTTCTTCAGGGGTCACATGGGCTTGGGAGGAGCCCCTGGCTCCTCCAGTTCCATCTATGTGAAGATAAGTCAAAGGTCTTGTTCAACTGTGGCTGGCTTCACTTGGAAGCACGGAGGAAATGTTTCTTCTGCGTTGACTCTCCTCTTTGTAGACTGGACACTGGTTCAAGTCCATTTGATGGGGTCTCCATGGGAAGAGCTGATCTTTCTAAAACAAGCAACTCTAGATAGGCTGACTAGATTCAGGAGATGGACAAGCACTGGGTAATGGCTGGGAGCGCCGACAACACAATGGACAGTAAAGGATGACAGAACATATGGGCTCCAGTGGGGGGTGGAGGCTATGGGAGGGTGCCATTTGGGAAGTGGGTATATAAATGAATAAGATTGTTTGGGATGTTCTTCTGTATGAAATACACAAAAAAATCAACAAAAATGAGTTATATTTGAGGAAGAAGCATAAAAATTTGCTTCATGTTAATTAGTAGAGGTGGAAAAACATTACCATTGAAATCTACCTGATGACTTTATATCCATAATCAGGTGCCAAGGATCCAAGTGTAACTGACTGTGACTAGTATAATCAGATGCATAGAGATTAGAGATGCATATGCAAACATCTAAGTGTTAGTAGCATTAAAAATGAGTTTTTCTGTATGAGACAGTATATTTTATGTCTTTATAGGGTTTATACTGAGTTCAATATTGTATAACTATTAATTCAACTGTGAACCTAAAAATTTACAGCCACTTTTGAAAGAGATGTATCTTTGCTCTGGTAATTGTATTGAATATGTTAATGCTGTAATGAAATGCTTCTTCTAATCATGTGGTTATTAAATAAATAATTAAAAAGATGCCTGTGCCTAGTATGTGCTGGGTACTGTGCTTGTTCTGCATTACTCAAGGGAAACAGAACTTGGAACAGGAACAGATCAGGATGTACTGTGGGGGCAGGGACAGCATCCTGGACCTTCCTAGTCTCAATTTGGATCCCAGTATCTTGATATCATGAAGGCAGACTAAGAATCTCATCTTTAATAAACTATATGTTCAGTTTGAAATCTAAAATCTGTTCGGGGCCTCAGTTTCAGGTGAGTTTGGTGAACCATAATCAGTTCCTGCCACCAAGTCCTTATAAGCTTTGGTATCTGGTCCTGTAAATAGCCCAGAGGCCCTGTCTGGGTGTTCTGGTGGATTTCTCGGCTCTTCCGTCAGAGGATTCACTTTATAAATTAACCACTGGTGTGCAAGCCTCCTCAGAGGGACTGCCACCTTCCTCAAAGCCTTTGTGCTGTGGCCAGTAGGGCCCAGAGGTCTGCTGATTCTGTGGTCTATCCTGACAGAGAACAAAGAGATATTTTTGGTCTGTTAATGTATGAGCTGAGCAGAAGAGGATGAAAGCCAGTGACAGGAAGGAAGGTATGCATGGGACCTGAGCATCGGGTCTGAGTTAGTCCCTTTTTCCTGGTATGGGAGGTCAGGAACCATAAGCTGCTTCTGGTTACAGCAGCTTCACCATCTTCTAGTAGCATTCCTGAACCTCTGAATCTGTCAGATGAAAAGAGCCCTGATGATTGTCTGGTAGGATCTGGTGGGACCATATAGACAAAAACATATGGCCATTTGAACGTGAACAGCAGATGAGGAAATCAAGGCCAGGAAATGTGAGCTATCCAGTGTTGTAGTGTGGCTGAAATGATATGTGGATTCTTTTCCGCTGGAGGGAAATTTTGGAACCATGGGGCAATGCCCTTGGTATAACTGGCTCCATTATTAGTCTACCATGTCTCATCCTAGCTCTGTGACCTGAACCCCAAACCTTCTGCCACCCTATCAAGGGAAGTGAAACCCCTTGTGTAGAACAGACAAGTTGCACAATATGTGTATCAAACCCATCTTGCCAAAGGGACGACACACTTCCTTCCGGTCTTCCTTCCAGGAGAAAATAACTCACTATAGAAACTGATGTACTTGAGGTGGAGTATTGGTAGAATGATGACGATGTTGATGACAATGTAGACCCAAGCACAAGTGGGAAGTTGGCAATGCCAGTACGTTATTGGGCATTCTAGCTTTGGGGGAATTCTTCAGCTCTTGACTCACTCAGCCTTTTTCAGCTTCAAGATTCCCTCTACCCTGGCAGGTCACGCTCCACAATGGAGGCAGGTGTTTCCTCAAAGCAGCAAGTTGTCTTGGCACCATCATATGTCTGATCTTGGGCTTCCTACCTTCTGTTATCAAGATTGGTAATTAATCATTGGTCTTTAATCAAGAGGACTAGCAAAATAATCATGGGTTGGTTCCTACATCATCGTGTATGCATGTAGTGATCTCTCTCTCTCTCTCTCTCTCTCTCTCTCTCTCTCTCTCTCGGCAGGTTATTACTATGTCTGGCCTTGAATATGCTGTGCAGCCCAGGCTAGCCTCAACTTCGTGACAGTCCTCCTGCATCAGCCTCCCAAGTGCTTCTACATTGGGTCATATGAGTGCTTCCTTCTTTGTTTACCTTCTCTAAGCAATGACTGTCCCTGCTGTTTTTCCCAGACCAGTCTCATTCATGGAGTTGGTGTCCTAACAGTTCTTAGGAGTCTATCATTTTCCCAGTATCACTTTCAGAGGCCCTTCTGGTATCTATCTGAAAGTATCAACAATGTTTTGTGTATAGGTCTGCCTTTTCATTTTTAATCTTAAGGGATTTAGGAATTTAGGATTAGGCAATATGATCATCAGGACTCTTTTTTGCTTGCTTGTTTTGCAGTTTTAAAAATTTATTATTGGTATGTGTATGTGTGTGTTTGTATGTGCATGCTGTATATGGGTGCGTGTGTGATATGTGCATGTGTGATCAGAAGACAGCATTGTGGAGTTGGTTCTTTTGTTTTGAAATTATTTTTTTATTGAGCTTTTTAAATTTCATACAACATTTCCCA